TGTGTGTGTGTACATGAAAACAAATGGAGTCACTTTCCACAGTGGCATACACGTGCTTTGTGTGTAATAAGTATTGACCACAACCAAGAAGAGCATGTGATGTTATATAATGCAATAGATAGTGTTAGCAACTGCACGTGGGTAGAAATGAACCATACACCAGATCAAAACTGAGACTTAACTGGGCATGAAACCCAAAACTAACCCTGGACTAGAACAAGTCTAATCCAGGACTAAATTAGGGTCTAATTCTAGTCTACATTACGTCTAAACTGTATTGAAATCAGGACCAAATCAGTACAACTGTGAAGACCCCTTTAGTTTTCATTTGATTTAGTAAAATGTTTTACTTTATTTCATAAAAATTTGTCTCATCATTGCTCTTATTATTACCAAACTTGTAATGTATGTAGTTCTCAAATTCATTTCAACCCTTATAGTAATTGCATTGATAAACTAAAAGTCAATGCGCCAAATGGAACAAATTCACATAAATATTTAACTTTCACATAAATGTGAATAAATATAGTTTATATATATAAATGTGAGGAACTTTTTAGAATTAATTGATATCTCTTTTCCCCTGTATATTGTAGATTAGTCAAAAATGGGATCAGAGAAACTGGTACCCAAACCTGATATAATTTTAGTACACACCATATCTATCTACACATTAAATGGTCTACATTATACATGAGTGAGAATGTACTATAACCTTATATTTATTACCTGAAGACCTCAAAGCCCCACCCGGCCACCGCGGTGAACAGTCGAGGTCCCAGGTCGCGGGCAGGGTTCAGAGGGTAGCCACAGTTCAGGCCCATAGACACTCCGATAGCCATGATAATAAGTCCGATTGCTAGTGGCTCCATTCCTTTTGGTGCTCCTATGTTCCCCCCATCAATGATAGCCAGTATACACAAGACCAACATCCCGGTCCCCACCACCTGCACAAAACAGTTTGCACTGATAACAGAATTAAAGTTCAACACAACTAAATTTTTCCAATTTAGATGTTCACCAAAAAACTACAATGATAGAAGTGAACTGTCGTCTTTAGAGGAAAAACAATAACATATTTCAGAAATTTAGAAACACTACACACACCACATCAACATTGTGATTAAACAGGAACTAAACCTCGACAATACTATGAGTCATGACTAAACCTAGTACAGGATCAAACCAGTCTACATCCGAACTATATCAGGTTCAAAGTGTGAACGCAGCTACAGATATGTATTATTATTGGTAATTTTAATTAACATGCTTTGCTACTAAAGAAGAGCCGCTGCCCTGAATATTAATTTAATTTATAGGATATTGACTATGTAATATGCTAAATATAACTGCATAATTTACTGTGACATACCTCAAACGCCTAATGCAAGTAATTATTACATTCTTGTTTGGAGTCATAATATTTTTCTTGAATATGTTTTTAACCTGTACAAAACACTGATCATAGTCTGGATTAAGGGTAGAACTGACCTGGTGTAAAAAGTTAGGAAATGGGTCATTAAACCTAAATCTGGGACTAATGTGTGGGACTATTCACAGACAAAATGGGCCAATCAATCCTGCATTAGTCCCACTCCCAGTCTGCAATGGTTTACAGACTGACTGATGCACTTGTCCAGAATAAAAAGGGTTAAATATCAAAGCTCACCTGGTCAATGAAGCCCCCCAGAACGGACAGGTGTCTGGCCGGATATGAAGCGAATATATGACCTGTGGCATTGATCCCGGTTACAGACAGAATCCCACTGGTGAAGTCCATGAAGGCGTCTGAAGGAAAGGGAATACATTATAAATCTTTGACATTTCTTTATAGTTTACTGCGGCAAAAAATAAATAGAATGGTAGTATATGTAGTTCTGTGAAAAAAATATGTACCGGTATCACAGGTATATCTGTTCTCCGAAAGCAGCCATATGTGTATGTATTCACTGGTAATTCTACATCACATTTGAGCCAAATATTTTAATTATATAGTTATTTCTATGAAGGAATACTAATATAATTCTTCAATGCTTTCATTATTCTTTCATACAAAACCCTGAGTACATTTAGACATAGTCATAAATGTAAGATTTTAAACATTTTATTGTATTTTATTTTATCTTTTATATCTCAGTCTAAGAGGTAAAATTAGCTTTTTTTTTCTTTTTTAAATTGTTGTTTTTATTTCTCAAAAAAATCTCACTGTGAGCAGGGTCACTTCTTCACAGATCTTACCTGTAACTTGCTACTTCCCATTCTGTGACATAATCCAGCAATAGCTATAGTGCATGTAACTTCTAAATGTTACTCAGTGCTCTCTGTACCTGTCAGGTGTAGTGAATGACTACAGAGCTATAGGCCTGTCCCATCAATTTTGAGTCTTTGGTTGGATATGGGACCTGGACTAGTGTAATTTCAGACCAATTCTAACCTTATTTTTCCTTCTTTTATGTTCTCTTGTTGGTTGACTTTTGTGACATGTGAGGTGTAATTACCGTAATATAACCCAAAGACAGCAGCTGCTCCGGCGAAGGCTCCAAGAAACTGAGCAATGACATAAATGGGGAACTTCCAGATCTTCAGTTTGCCCAGAATGACCATGGCCAGGGACACAGCAGGGTTCACGTGCCCCCCTGGGAGACAGGACAAAGCACACAGTCACAGGGGGCTACAGGGGGAGGAGGGGGGCTGCATGATACCCTGTCTGTCATTACTGAAGCCATCACATTTACAAGAGAGCAGCAGAAGGGCAGCAGACCCTGGGGCGGTGCTGGCTTTTGTTGGCACTTTTCACACAATAATAGCTGTATAATAAGAGCCCACCATTCAAGTGAAATCGACAAATGGACCATGTCGTTCAGTGCTTTTTCTGCTATGTTAAACAGCCCAATGTAAAGGTTAAAGCCATCATACAACACTATGGGACGCTAACATGGATTTGGAAGCTTCAAATATTTTATCTTCATTAGTGAAAGTCTGCTGAACAGTTATCATGTAAATGTAAATGAAAACAGAATGAACTGGGTAAAAACAAACTCCAGCCCCAATATAGTGTTTATAGCATACACATTGCATCAAGTGTTTTTAAAAAATATGCATTACAATAAACATTTTTGACTGTCAAAAATGCTTAGATGAGGCACTTTGAAAGCTAGATGACTGTAAAATGCCCTGTATAGATGATTAAAATGTGATAAGTAGAAGTGAAATATTGTTTTGAACACAGTTTGAACAAATAGACGAAGATACCATTAAATGATTTTGTTTCATAGAATGGTAAAATATCACTTTTAATGACTTTTGTTCTTGAATTAACTTCAACTTAAACATTTTATATTAATCTGCAATTTGTATTCTACTACCACTTTACATTTTACACATCTAGATATTTGTGTATGTGTTATAAGCAAAATAAAATTTATCTACAGTTGCCATAGAGACATGCACGGGGCATATGATCAATCCAGTTTGCAGGACGTTTGTTGCCTGCGGTTACGACTGACCCCGGAAAGGCTGACAACGACCTGACAAATCAATGAACACAGTCATTGGATGTGAACAGAGATGGCACGTTTTTTGGTACATGACAAGCCATATTAAAAGTATTACTATTGTTATTATTTGTATTATTGGTAATATATGACATCCTTGCTGATTTTCATATACATAACAAGTTTTATGACCACAGGCCCAGGTTTTAGTATTAATCATGATTATTTTATAGACTTGCAAAACAATAAATGTCATAACCAGAAGTGCAGCCAAGCAATCTTAGCTACTACTGTGCATTAGGCAGGATTACAACACACTTAAGACTCAATGGATCTCACAAAGATGTATTATATGCATTATATTTTTACAGTTTTATTCCAGTTTGGTTTACTTGTGGACTGATCGAAATTTAGGTTATACTGTCCAAGATATTACTTGAAAAGAAAAACATTTTGAACAAGTTCTTGGTATAGACTGTTAAAGAATGACTAATATTCTTTATCTTTATATAACACAGCCAGTCACCAGTATTGCTTATTTGCACTTAAGTATAAAACATTAAATTGTGAATGTAATATGACTTACCTGACACTCCTCCTGCCACATAGACTCCCATCATGAGACCAACAGAGAAACCAATATGGACTGTGAGGGGTTCACCCAGTTGGTTCCGACTCAAAACGGTTTGGGCCACAGAACCACAACCAAACAACTAAAAAAACAAAAAACAAAAGCATTCATAAATAACATCTCATGAATACAATTGTAATGTATACCTGTAATGGCTGGAAAGGTACTTACCACCAAAACAAATGTCCCTAGGAATTCTGCAAGAAATTCCTTGCATATTCCATATTTGAGCCCACAGTGTCGCCTCATGCTTGTCCTCTTTGGCTGGTTCTCTATATACTGGTCTAAACTAAAGATAAAACTGACAGGACTCCCACTGTGTGAACCTATGGGGCCTGATTACAGCGTTCAACATCCAGTCTCCACCTCTGCCTGGGACAGCCACTCAGTGCAGGACATTGATCCAACTTTGATACAGACATTTACCGTCAAATGCATATGGATTGATGGAATGTTATTGTAAATACCTGTTTTAATTATCATCACTGGGGCAATTGCTGGGCTTAAAAAGACATCACAACATTCTATAGGTCAATAATATTTAATACAGATGGGGACAGCTAGAATTGATGTTGTCTGAATTCAATTTTTCTTGCAATACAGTGAGTTGGGTCTAGTCACTTGTAGAAATGATCAGGTTCAACATTTGTGATTTTACCTTTTAGATATTTCACGGTAAAGTACAATGTAATCAAAAGGGAAAACTGACAGTATGGCAACATCACATTCGAGAATCAATTAATTATCACTAGTTTGTTTATTTTCCCTTATAATCCTGGTAGTGTGTTACTGATAGGTTACCAAATGCTGTGAGATGTATTTCATGTTTTTCTACACATTAAGACTTGATTTTATTAGTTTTTCCAATTCCACAACTTAAGCAATCCACACAAATGTACAATAAGTTACTACACAAAAAGCATCTGCTAAATACAGTCTTCTTAAGTTCACAGGTTGGTCACATAATGTAGTTATCAAAGTTACCACAAGAGGTCAGTATCAGCAACCCTCTTAATGCTTTACAACGGCACACCTGAGTTTTAAAAAATGTTATTTGGAGATGTTTAAAATTGTAAAATATTCTAAAGTTCTTTATTTGAAACTTAATGTGTTTTCTGTATGACTCAGGTCATTCTGAGACCAGGTCATCTACTTCGTCCAAGCTGTCCTTTATAAGAGCTGAGGGCTTCTTCTTGCGCCTGAAATAACAAAAATAAAATGCATATTAATTTTAACTAAAAGATTACTTATAGAGACACTATAGTCAAACTAGAAGCATAGAAGGGTTTATAATAGTACAGAAAAAACATAAACAAATGAAATCTAAACTAAAAAGCATCAAGGCTAATAGAAAGCTTGTTCTGTGCCTAAACCTTGAATCTAAATGGTAAATGCTTTTAAGATTTATTTCTCTATTTTTTTCACAGAATTATTTATTTCTGAATTCCTGAGAAGGTACAAAGAAAAATGAATAAATAGTAATGTGAGCTGAGTGTTTCTTACCTGAGCTCATTCCTGAGCACATTCATTTGGTCCAAGAGCTGCTCACTGGCCTCTGTCTGCTCATCTAGCTCTCTCTGCAGTTTCTTCTTAGCGTGTTCCAGACGCTCGATCTCCTCCTCCGCTTCGTCCATCTGCCTCTTGGCCGTCTTCAGCCTCTGAGTCAGCTGCAGAGGGCACCAAAGTCAGGCAACCAACCATCACACACAAATCTTGTACTTTTACATTTTCTCCATTATTTAAAACTACTATACAGCATAAGCTCTCTATAACTATACACTATAATATCAAAGAAATGTATGGTACCTGGTCCTTCTCCGTCTGCAGGTTGATGTGCTCCTCTTCTGCATGCATCTTCATCTCCTTCACCTTTCGCTCCAATCTACGGTTCGCTTGTTGCAAACTGTTGTTGTCACTAGAAGCCAAATAGAAAAATGTGACATTGCTGCTGTCAGTAAATACAAATGAACAATGAATTAACTAAATTAAGTAACTGTCAATAGATCTGTCATGTCTGTATCATTAATAGTACTAATCCTAGTTCCAGAACAATTGGTTTTAACTGCTGTATTGTGAAAGTACCTTTCTTCAGCTTGGAGTCGCTCCTCTAGCTCTTGAATACGAGAGTTGAGTTTGGACACAAGAGAGTCCTGGTTGGTCCGCTGTGATCCCTCCAGATGGTTCACTCTGCCTTTCAGGTCTTTATTCTGAATCCATTAGATGTAACATGTTATTATTATTGAGCAGATAGCATTTTCAATGTGTGTGTTTGGCTAGCTTCAGTTTCCCTTTAATGTCCTACACACTTGAAACCTCTTTCCAAAACTGCTAATAATAAATCGTAGATTTATATTTGTTCAGTTATTTGTGTAGCTATCTAACTTTAACTGTGGCCAAAATATTGACTGTTCAATAAGATAAATTGTTTTCTAATAAAATGTAAGTAAAATATTGTTCAAACAAATCATTTCTGATTTGTTTAAATTCAGTACTATAAATTTGAGACAAAACCTTTTAAGGAGTGAGGTTTTGTCTATTCCAAAAACAATCCAAATCTCTATAGAGAAGACTGAGAGTTGAAAGTGAAAGTTGTAGAGGGTCCATGCCTGTCTCTCAAGGCTCATCTTGTCACACTCCAGGTCTTGTCTCAGAGTCCTCTCCTGCAGCAGCTCTGTCCTCATCTGATCCATCTGTCTCAACAACATACAGAGGAAAATTATACAAGAATTACTGACACAATTTTGAAATGTCTTGTGTGTGGTGTCTACAATGGTTAGTGATATTAGCTTCCCAGTATAATAGTCACCCCACTAACATTAATGTATTAAAAAAGTGGATACTTTACTACATACTACATACTATCTAAGCACTTTTATCATTATTACATTTCAGTTATGTCTATATATATATATATATATATATATATATATATATATATATATATATATATATATATATATATATATATATATATATATATATATATATATATATAAATTTATCTCTTTAACCACCAGCCTCATTGAACTTCATTTGACTGGATCTGAATGCAATGAATGACATCACATTCCCTCAGCCCACTTCTTTATACAGTCTGTATGTATGTGACCCAAAGAAACACATTTAGGAACACACATTATTATCCATAAACAACATAATTATTAAAGACATAAAAAATATAAAACACACAACACTGCTGTATTGCCACACACACTGCATAATGTCTACACACAGACTAAAGGCCTGCTAACGAGTAGGTAGGACATTGAAAAGTTGCCAGATTAATTTTCTCTACGGAAATGCAGTCTGGTCTGAAGGCTGTGGCTCTAATAACACAGAGGGGCCCACACAGGGACATTTCAATGGAGGCTCTATAATAGTCAGCTGTGTTTTTTTTCTCTTTGCAAAGAAACGAAAACAGTGCTTTTCACCAATTAGTTTGCACTGCCTCGCTCACATGGACGTTGGCCTAGTTTATAGTCTTTTTATATGAGGGGTGTTGATAGCAATGACATCATGGGCTTAACTAGAGAGAGTGAGGTAATGTAAGTGTAAGAAGACACTATGTAGATGCTATCATGATTAAAAGAATGTTTTTATAAATTAATAATGTGGATATAAGATAAAATGTGTGAAATATAGGGTATACTGCATTAAGTATCATTGTGGTGCATTTCGGTATGCAATCTAATGTTAACCTGATCTGATCCTTTATATACACAATAGAAATTAATATTTAAAATGTTGCTAGCAAATAGTATTTATAGGATTTAAAAATACTGGAATATGAATAATTGCTTCTCCTCTACAAGAATTTCATGTGGAATTAATAAAGTGATATCTTATTTTATCTTATTTCTACAGTATCAATATTCAGACACAATGAGAATATGCTTCTTACTTGTTCTGATTTGGTCCTGGATAAAGCTGAGATTCAAGACACCCTAAGTGCTTTACATTCATTTACTCACTCCAGTATTGTAGCCATAGCGGCCCTGGGGTAGACTGCAGGAAGTAAGACTGCTTATCTGCCCCTCCGACCACCACCAATCACTCATGCACACACTATATTCATACTCAGTGCAGACTTGGTTTGGTTCTGTTCTTGTCCTGATTCTAGCCCAGTTTTAGTTTTGAGTTTTTGGTGACCGTGTGTGTGTGTGTGTGTGTGTGTGTGTGTGTGTGTGTGTGTGTGTGTGTGTGTGTGTGTGTAAGACTTGTGTACCTAAGTTTTTCAAAGTAGTATGTAGTATTACTATAACATAATAACTAATAGCAACACAAATGAAACTCCACTTTTTTGTTTTGTTTTCATTTTAGCAGCCAAATTCCAATCCAAGTTTACATTATTCACACAACGTATACATTAATACCACAATGACATTCCTATAGTTATGTTTACAACAATAAGCAGAAAAGTGTCAAAAATTCAAGCTATCCTCCTTAATTTCCTGGGACTGTCTGCGTGCACTGATCAGCAGGTTTTAATGTTGAGGGGAATTTGAGCTGTAGCTCCACATCTGTTTATAATAAAAACACCAACAGGGCTGGGCTTCACACTTGAGATGGACTGTCACTTTGCAGTTAAGAAGATTTATGTTGAAGAGGCAATAATAGAGAAATATGAAGCAACTTGCCTGCTCTTTGATTTTGTCCAGTCTCTCCATTAAGCGGTCAGCACTGCTCCGCTCGTCATTAAGATCCTCTTGAAGCTGAATAATGCGGCTCTGAGAAGGGGAAATATGTCATATATTTAGATTAATATTCTAGTAGGGATTTGTTGTTCACAGAGACATAATTAACATGTGGTTTGTGGTCTGGTTAAATTGTAGAAGAAAAAGAAGAAGCACAAATAAGTTTAGTTGGACATTTTGTGAAAGAGCTTTTAGAATGTTTTATTATGACAGGTTGTTTATGCCTGGCTCAAAATTTGGACTGGTACTAAATTCAACACAATTCATTTATTGTTAACAAATACAAGAATAACAAGAATGGTAACATGAAAGAAAACACATTTGATATTTATTTATTTAAAAAAAAAGTTTTATTTTATTTATTTATTTATTTACTAAGACGGGGAAAATCTTGAACAACAATATATAGGCAAACATATTGACTACTTTTTTCACTATTTTATATTATTTTATATTATTTATGGCTCTTTTATATAGAGTTAGATCAGTGATACTGTATGGAACCAGTGTATATTCAAATTGTCAAATTGTACTGTAATGTTCTATAAACTGCAATGTACTATTTAAGCAGTTATCCTATTTGAGGTGTTAAAGGGGAGTCCCAGCCACAGCCGGAGCAGCATTAGCCCTGGGACT